TTCAAAAGGTGATAGCTCAGCTTTCTATAGGTCCGTGCCCCTATGAAGTGGGATACGAAGGAAATGAAAAGTTCTTTGAAGGAAGAGATTGAGGCCGGGGGGAGCCTGTTAAACCACGCCAAGGCTGAACCCTTCAAAGTGAGGGCAAAGGCTCGACAGCGTACGGGGTCCTGGTACTCGTGCAACTCCATCTGTTTCTTATAAGTATTGAGGTGGTCCATGGGGTCCCTGGTTCCATCAAAGGATTCTATCTGTGGCATCCTGAACTTTAGTGGGAGGGGAAAATGCAACACCCCAGGTGTGAATGGAGATTCAATCTGCTGCACCAAGGCGTCCATTGTAACCGGAGCTTTACTTCTGACCACTTCCTTCATGTGGCTGAGCTCCTGTTGGATGCCCTTGAAGCATTGCTCCCAATATTGTTCCCTTCTCTCCTGTTGATAAGGGAAGACATCATTCTTTTCACCTTCATAGTTTTAACTTTGTACTTCCTCATTATAGCCATTCCTAAGGGGTAGTTAGGGAACTTGCCCCAATGTCTGGTTGTTCTCCCCTCCTTTATTATCTTCTCTAAGTGGATCAACGTGTTGTTGATCCCTGTGATGGGGACTGTTCTAACCTTCTTGGGCCGGATGTGCTTCCTGTGGGCGCTGTAAGAGCTTCAAGAGCTCCTTGTTTTGCTTTATTAATCGCTGATTGACGAGGCAAAGGGCCTCTATCTCGTTATTTGTGGGGGGATTTCCCATGGGAGGATCAGTTTCTGGGACGTTCTTGGGCTGTCTGCCATTGGTGGCTCCTTGTTGATCCTGCATCCGAGGTGGGTTTGTTTGGTTTCTGCTCATGTTTTGTGTTGATACCATCAGTCACTGAAAAATTAGCTTATTTGTAACAGGAACAGTTGTTCTCACAGACAGTGTCAAATTGATGGTGCAGACTGATGTGGGTGAACAGAGTGTGTGAGACCAACGGTGAAGTTAGGCTGCCAACTTCATAATGGTAGTAATGAAGTGTTTCTTAGGAGATAGGAAAATTTGCACAGTAAGGATATAGTGGTTCACCGGCTCTGGAGCTCGGCTAATCCACTCTCTAATGGAGGCTCTTGCTCCTTTTTTCTCTATTGACTATTTGAATGTATTACAATACAATGCATGATCTAATTAGGGTTCTTCTTCGGCCCCCTCTAGATGAGGCGTTACCTAGTATTTATAAGACTACTCCTTATTATATGGGATTTCAGCCGAGATCTTTGTCAATTATTCATGGAATCCCCCTTGATTTTAGGAGAGAATCTCTGTTGATTGAAAGTTTCATGCATTAAGCTCAATTTCTACAGTCCTCCTATTATTTCTTGGTTGGTTCTGTCATGATCTCACCAAGGGGAGCTCTACCCCTGGTTCTCTGAGCTCTCTGTGTCTTTCCTGACCTCCTGACTTGAGCTCACAACTAGGGCTTATTTGAGGTATCATCAGAGTACAAGATGCCTATACTCTCCCATTGTGAGAGTCCATCTTTTTCACTCTGTATCCTATATTATTGCTTTTCACACAATGACCCCTCAAAAAAGGGTGGGCATTGCCCAAAAAATGCAACCCTTGGCCTGAGCTATGGCAAAAAGAGTTGAAAAGGGTCATCATTAGTATGCTTAATATGTATATTCAAATTCGAATCTATAAAATATAAGATATCAAATTCAAGTTCAAGTTTGTATAATCGGATTCAAATCAAAATCTAATTTATTTACAAGCCTAACCATTGGTAAGACCAGGGCAAAACACACCGACCCATGGGTCGGCTTGGTTCGGCCCTTAGATAGTGACTATAGTATTTAATAGCATATGTAGATTATTCCAACCTAATATTTATTTTTGCTCAAAAGCATAATAACTGAGAAAATAATTATGACACTTTGAAATAAAAAAAAATAAGTAGCCTATATTCCAAGCTTTGACAGGGTGATGAACTACATCCATAAGTTCCAAGGTAAAACATAAAGAACCTATTTGATTTATATCTCAAAAATTATTTTTTATTTTCAAAAATAGTTTTCGAAAGAAAAGCTATTTGACTAGTCGTTTTTTATTTTTGTTTTTTAAAACTTGGGCATAAAAACTGAGCGGATTTAATGAGCAAGTTAGAATTTCTTGTATATTTTTGAAAACAAAATTTCTAGAATTTAGGAAATACCACCACCACCATACTTCCACCATGCCCACCACATTTTCACCACTACTACCACCATGACCATCACACTCCCACCATCACCGTTCCACCAACCCCACCACTATTATCATACTTCCATTACCACAACCACCACCCACCACCACACTCTCACCACCCTTCCGCAAATACCATCATCATCACCACCCCGCTCCCACCACAACCACATCCACCACACCACCATTATTACATTTTCTGTTTTTATTATTTTTTGAGTTATTGTGTCCAAACATATTTTAATGTTTTCTATTTCATATAATTGTTTTTAGAAACATATAACAAAATAAATTACGAAACACAAAAAAAAAAAGCAAAAATAATTTTTTAAAACTCCTCCCAAAAATAATTTTCAAATATTAGTTTTTTAGTCGCAAACCAAATAAGACTTGCGTTCATTTTCTTTCCAAATCCATCAATCATCGATTGTTAGGTAAAGCGAAAGTAATTTGGGTGGTTGAATGGAATAATGTCATTTATAGGTGCTAGGTGTTGTCTATCCAAAACTAAAATCAATCATTTTCTTCTTCTTCATCATCATTCTCTTCCTTTGTTCCGCTCCCCACTTTTGTCAAATCTTTGGCAGGCAATCTGAATACATCAATTCAAGTTTCAACTCTCCACGTAAGAGATGGGGCTAGTGCAAGATTTTGAGCATAAAGTATAGGGAAAAGCTTATTACAATTATCACTTGCAGAATTCTCCTATCCCCCCAATTTGGAAACAAAGCAATTAGTGTTTATCTTGAAGTGAAGAAATGCACCCTTGTTATTTGGGTTTCAATGTGGCATCTAAAAATTATTTTTTGATACCATATATCATCTTTAGTCTAATCACAAGTTGACCCATGAAAAATTTTGTTACTTTTTTATCTTGAGAAACGATAACTACAAATGATTTCAATTAGATGAATGACATAGATACATTTTTTGGTATAATACTGTGTTTAACTTTTTGGTATGATAGCATTATTCTTGTAATGATGGACAGGTGGAAGAGTCTTATAATTGTTTTTTATTTTAATTAGATTCTAAGATGGGAGATTACTGCTTATAGTGCTGGTAAACCCCAATAAAACATAAAACAATATTATCAAAGAGAATAAGATCCTTCCCCATAAAACAAAATTCTATTTGGGTGGGTGATCATATAATCAAAATGTCTCTTATCACCGCAGCATAATCTCATTAAGAGGAATCTTATGGAACTTTTTTCCCTTTGTTTTTGTCTTCTTTCCGGTTACAGTGCCGGAACTTTTTCCCTTATCTTTTAGAATACTTTCATAATCCAATTCTCGATGAGTTTTCTATCAATTTAGACTCCCATAAGGATTAAATCGCTATCTTATCTTCAAATTTTTCTATCTTAATCTTGACTTCTCAATCTTTATCAAATGTGATTATTATTTATTCCTCTAGTATTTTGTTCACTTATCTTATCTATTATTACTTTAAATCAATCAGGTTACTTGCAAAAATAAATCAAACAACTAGAAAAAATATTAGACTAAAAAATTAAAAAATCTAACACATTTAATTACAAATAATAGGCAATTAATCAATTATTAAATAAAATAATATTTTTTTATGTTTAATCACATTTTTTTATAACACTGCTATGTTGATCAATAAAAAAAAAGAAGAGACCTCTTGCTTCTGGTTAGTATTTTGAAAAATGTGCTCCAATGTGTATCTCTCCTGCGATTTTTATTATTAACTCAAATTTAAATTATTTAAATTTTAAGTAAAAATTTGATTGGATAGAAAATAATTTAATAAATAAATTAAAGTATATCTCTATTTTTTATTCATGCATAAGATAACTGATGTAGAACATGTGACAATTAATTTCTTAGAGCTGGAAGACCGTCGTACATCCAAAATCCAACGAAAAAACAAAAAGGTGATAGTAGAGGCTAAATGGCTCAGACTCGAAAGTGATATGTTTTGAGGCCTAAAACGATAAATTCAATTGAGACTTTTTTTTAATAATAGTGTAAAAAAATTAAATAATTTTAAGAGAGATGTTAATGCTCGTCAAGGGTCGCTTCATATGTTTTGAGGTCTAAAACGATAAATTCAATTGAAACTTTTTTTTTAATAATAGTGTAAATTTTTTAATATTTAATTTTTTTTTACAGATGCATATTCATTTTTTAGTATTTGTATTGAAATTTTTCTAACATTTCTTTTTTATTGATAGTATAACTAATTGACTTAATTTTTAAATTAAATAAAAAATTTCAAATCTTTCAAATTCAAAGATTATTTGACAGATTATGTTTTCTCGTCATTGACACTCTTATAAAATTATTTTTCTATGAATTAGACATTACTCACGAAATATATGTTTGATTATATTTTTTAAGATTATGATAAAAAATACAATATTACATAGACCTTATTGGATGACTTTATCATTTTTTGTCATTAGACTTATAGTGAATTCTACTATTAGTTGAGACTCATTGTCAATTTTACGGTTATGATCTATCCTATCACGAGATAAGATAACTAAATTAGATACGAAAAAGGCTAAATTTGCATTCCATCTCTCGACAGCCAAAATCCCTCCCCCGGGCACCACAGTACATTTTCAATCAGCACCATTTCTCAAATTCACATGCAGAAAAGTATTAGCTGATGTCACTCAGAATCTTCTACGTATCTCACAAAGCATCTCCTGTGCCACCAACTCAGATCAACAGGAAGTGATGCAGCAGAAGACGAAGCCATGGATGCATAGACGAGGTTCCCTTAAACCAATGCACCTGGATCCCTTGAAAACTATGCACTTCGAATGGTGTCTACTCTATCAATGACATCCAATGCCTTGATCCGATCAATGTCAAAGTCAATGACCGGGACAGATGATGGTCTCCTAATAGGAAAGGGATCCTTCTTAATTTCCCTCGTTGGAGAGTGGCTGCTACTCTTACTCAGTCTATGGTGCTTGCTTAACCTGGTTTTTGCAGTATCGAATTCTTGACTCTTACTTTTTCCCGGGGTTGGTCTCCTTTTGCCTACATCCCGAAGCATCTCTTGGTCTTCGACCGTCAGTGAAGGTGATGGAGAGCTGGGGTGTTGCATTGATAACTGAATTGCTTTCTGACTAGGGGAACGAATTGGGGATTTAACGGGGGATGATTGAATTGGGGATTGGTCTGATTCCACAATGGCCAGCAGCCCTTGATTGGCTGATGAGATGGTGAAGCCACACTACCAATTCGAGAATATAGGCTTCGGTTTTCTCCTTGTCTGAATGGTGGAGCGTCTCAATCCGGATTAAGTCTGTTTGGCCAGCAGGTTTGCGGTTCACTTCAGACCTAAATTTTTTTAAGCTGTCTTCAGTAAATCAAAAGGAATAAATTACTAAATTCTAGAAATAAGCACCAAACAACAAACTTACCCTGTATTTGCCCATTCTCCAACCCAACCAAAGCCATGATGTGCTCTAGTTTAAACCAATTGTACTAACAAAACACAGATTAAGAATTGATGTCCAAAATTATAAAAACAAAATAAAATATATGAAAACTTAAAGCACGTGTTCTTTGTAGCCAAAAAAGCAAAGATGGCCAAAAAATACGTCCGGTGACCACTTTCAGGTTTGTCCTGTTCCCAAACAAGGTAGTTAGAAAGCCACTTTGGAGAATATGCCACTAATTATGCAAACTGATTGAACTACTTCCATACCACTCTCATTCATGGGATGATGAGCATGCCATTAAAGAAAAAAACAAACTATAAAAGTGGAGTATCAAATATGATCACATCCTGACAGAAATCTTACTTGGTTGTATTTGTGGCAATGGGAACAAGCCACTGCAAAGTTTTCTCCATTTCGGCTTTGATTTGGGGGACGGTAAGCTGCAATAACACCAAGAGGAGAACACTTACATATGGCTTAGTAGATGCCAATATATTCAGGAGCATAGTTAAGACAAAAAATGTCTGGATATGCAACAAATTATTACCAGGTAAAGAAGAGAATTTTCTTTTTAGTTTTTGTTATTGCGTGTGCGTTGTTTGGGGGGGGTGGTGCAATTATCATGTCTCAGCGAGTATCAAGAAGCTGGATTCATTGGATAGAATAAATACCTCTTCCTTTAGCTGAACTGACAACAAAAAGAAAAAAAGGAAAGTTGCTGCAAAATTCAAGTGAAAATACGACTCGTATCACCAACAATGTATTGCCTCACAACTAACTTTTACGGTGATATTTTGTGATACTAATATACATGATAGTAATTTATTCGTGTCATTACATCGTGCCATAAATGAGGGAATAGGTGGATGGGGCGGAGCTAAAAAATTATTATTGGGTGTACACTTTAACAATAATTGTTAGTATTGTACGATATGCAATATGTATCATATAATACGTGTCGATACATCAAGAAAACGATACACATCACTTAAGTGTATCGAGAAAACAAAAACATACTTTAAAAGTGTTGCAGAGTTCATCATACATGTCGTTGAAAATGACTTTTTGTAATATACCCAGTCATGCAATCAGTCATCTATTTATCACCCTCTCGGGGGTGGGGGGGGGGGGGGGGTTATGAAGTGGGTCTTCACATTTTCATAGATGACAATGCTGTTTCTACATAGGCACTCACAACTGGCAAAATCAACCTAAGTAACCTAATGTACATTCTATTTCTTTTCTAGTCTTAACAATCCCTCCTAAGTTTTAAAATATATAGTTAGAGTGTACATGAACAATATACTTGTTAAATTGGTCAAAAAGTGACAATAGATCTCAAATAAAAGAAAGTGACATCTCACTGGAGGGAAGCATATTGTCGGGATTGCACAGTTGTCGAAGGTTGTACATCCGCAATCACTCTCTCTTTTTTTTCTCTCTCTCTCTCACATTGAGACACATTTAGTTTTTTTAACTCCAAACAATTTTATAGTTTTAAGTTGTGGCCTTTTTTTTTTTCTATATACTTAAAAACTAACCTTGTATTTTACTACACAAGGTCTCTAATTTTTATACAACAACAAAATAACTATACCACTTTCTTTGGAAAAAAAAAGAAGAGGAAATGACCCAATATATCCAAAAACCCATCCAAGTGTGTTTGAAGTATGTCTGAAAGTTAATAGTTTATGAGTCAATGTAAAATTAACTTCATTATGTGAAAACCATCACACAAAAAGGAACATTTATATTGAATCATCAAGAATTAAAATATTGGATTTGCGGAAGCGTATCTAAATCCATAACAAAATATTGAAATATCTGAGTCTGAGTCTGTGGCTTTATGATCTTCTAGATCTACACTTGTTTTCTGTCTAAATTTCTATCTGACAATGGGAATTAGAAGAATAGAAAAATCATCATGTGATCTGGGGACCATGACCCCTATTTATAAACAATCGTGTATGTTTATAAGTATTCACGCCTATTCGTAATTTTTATTTTAACCCATCATAAAAATAAAAATTACGCTTGTTTCTACACATTAATGCTCACACTTTATAATATATTAATTACGGCTCCAAAACTTAAATTAATCACTTTAATTAGCCTAACTTTATTTGATAGCCTATAATTCACATTTATTAATAAATAAGCCCATATATTTAATTTTACTCCAATAATCTCCCACTTGGGTTATATATGTAACTTTATAAACATGAATTATACTTTATGAGCTCATGAGTTTTGCTATTAAAAGTTTATATTTTTTTAATAATCTTGTCCATTAACCACACCAATACATAACCAAAGCGATCGTCATTACATATTTCGTAACTAAACTCATTAATGATCACATATATCAATGCAACTAATGACAAAGATCAAGTGTGGATGTGTAGCTTGGAAATTTCATGCAATGTGATCTTAACATGTCTATTTCCAACCGGTCCTCCTTAAACCTTAGTGAGATCAAACCTTACAAAATCAGAGTGAATGAAAACTGAATAATTTACTACGGTAAATAATCATAAAATCCATAATATCCATAACAAATTTATCTATAAATAAAAGCATCTAAAATATAAACTCCCACTAAAACGATATATCTTGAAGAGAAACCACACTCATATGAGCAGTGTGTTCATGAAAAACCTTGCGTGGTAATCCCTTAGTTAGTGGATCTGCAATCATGGAGTTTGTCCCAATGTGCTCTATAGATATAAGTCCACTCTTAACTCTGTCTTTGACAACTAGGAATTTGATGTCTATAAATTTTGATTTTGTCGAACTTCTGTTGTTGTTGGAATACAGTTCTGCTGATTTATTGTCACAAAATAACTTAAGTGGTCTTTCAATGTCATCCAGAATACGCAACCCCGTGACAAAATTTTGCAACTATATTCCATGATTGGACGCCTCATAACAAGCTACAAATTCAGCTGCCATGGTGGAAGAAGCTACAATAGACTGTTTAACACTCTTCCAAGATATAGCACCTCCAGCAAGTAAGTAGATATAGCCTGAAGTAGATTTCATGCTATCTCGGCATCCAACAAAATCAGAGTTAGAATATCCAATGATCTCTAATTGATCTGACTTTCGATAAGTGAGCATGTAGTCTTTTGTTCTCTGTAAGTACCTCATGACTTGCTTGACTGCTATCCAATGATCCTTTCCAGGATTGCTTAAGTATCCGCCCAACATGCCAACAATGTATGCAATATTCGGACGCGTACATACTTGAGCATACATTAGATTTCCTATTGCTAATGCATAAGGAATCTTTTGCATCTCCTGAATCTCAAAATTATTCTTGGGACGTTGACTAAGACTAAATTTGTCTCCCTTAGCCACAGGGGTGTCACCTGGTTTGCAATCATGCATGCCAAACCTTTCAAGAATTTCCTCGATATAGCTGTTTTGTGATAAACCAAGTGTATCCTGAGAGCGATCCTGGTGTATCTGTATACCCAACACAAAAAAAGCATCACCAAGATCTTTCATCTCAAATTTCTTTGATAGAAATCTCTTGGTTTCATGCAACATGCCTATATCGTTGGTGACAAACAATAAGTCATCAACATATAAAACCAAGTAAATATGCTTACTCCCACTGAACTTATAGTATATACAATCATCAACCATATTCATCTCAAAACCAAAGGAAATGATAACTTGATGAAACTTGTAATACCATTGACGAGAAGCTTGCTTAAGCCCATAGATGGATTTCTTTAACTTGCAAACCATCTTCTTTACATCTCCTGACACAATTTTCTGGTTGCACCATATAGATTGTTTCATCAATGTCACCATTGAGAAATGCAGTTTTAACATCCATCTAATGAAGCTCAAGGTCAGAGTGTGCTACAAGTGCCATTATTGTCCTAAAAGAGTCTTTCAATGAAACCGGAGAGAAAGTCTCTTTATAATCGATGCCTTCTTTTTGTGTAAAGCCTTTAGCGACAAGACAAGCTTTGTATCTCTCCACATCACCTTTCGAATCCCTCTTGGTTTTAAATATCCATTTGCAACCAATGGGTTTCACACCTTCAGGCAATGGGACAAGATCCCAAACGTCTTTGTCCTTTATGGACTTTATCTCCTCATTCATGGCATTAGTCCACTCTTGAGGTTTAGAACTTTCTAGGGCTTGACGGAAGTTGATTGGATCATCTTCCACCGCACTAATGTCAAACTCATGTTCTTGGAGAAAAATAATGTAATCATCTGGCACTGCACTTCTCCTTTCTCTAGTGGATCTCCTTAATGGCGCAGGTTCTAGAGGAGGTAGAGTTTGTTCTTCTGGAATGGGAGGTTCTTGGATATTGTTTTGATTTGGATCTGCTTCTTGAACAATGTCATGTATAATAGCCTGATCAATGTCAATAACAGCTGTGGGAATATCAGCATATTTCTCTTCAAAAACAAAATTCCTATCCTTATCTCCCCCTTCAAACTCAACATCCTCAAAGAACCGGGCGTTTCTCGTCTCAAAAATTGATCTAGTAGTAGGATCATAAAATTTGTAACCCCTGAATCTTTCAGAGTATCCAATAAAATAGCAACTCACCATTCTTGAATTTAGTTTCTTTTCATGTGGCCGGTAAGGCCTTGCTTCAACTGGACATCCCCAAATGTGTAAGTGCTTTAGACTAGGCTTCTTGCCAGTCCAAAGTTCAGAAGGGGTTTTATTAGTTGCTTTAGTTGGTACTCTGTTAAGGATATACGCTACAGTCTTTAATGCTTCACCCCAGAGTGATTCTGGCAAGTTAGAATGACTAATCATACTCCTTACCATGTATTTGAGCATTATGTTTCGCCTTTCAGCAACATCATTCATGCTTGGAGAACCTGACATGGTGTATTGTGTGACGACACCGCACTTCTCTAGGAATTTAGCAAATGGTCCCGGACGTTGTTCACTTGAACCGTCATACTTACCATAGTATTCACCACCACGGTTAGATATGAAGTTTTTAATCCTTTTGCTAAGTTGATTTTCAACTT